TTCGGTATCAATGTAGCCCGTTAGCTAAGTGCGCGGCTGCCACGCTGTTTTCGAGATCAAAGGGTTAATTAAACGCTTTCTTTACGGGGCCCCCGCTGTTGCTGCCGACCTCACCTGCTAAATCTGTTTTGTGAAGTCCCAACGGCGATACTGAAGTACACACTTTCCTCCCCTTGCTTCCCCTGTCGATAGGTCGTGCACGTGCAGCTTTAGACTACGTTCACACGCGATAGTCTCGCCTCTAATTGGACCTTCGGTTAGATCGAACGTAAGTTGCTTAGAAATTGAATTTCTTTTTTCATTTTCCGAAAGAAACTACGAGACGAGAAATGGGGTTGATACTTATTAGGCGAATATTATCTGTACATTCGTAAGACCTATATTAATTTTACGTTTATGCTTGTACGTATTTTACGTCCGCGAATTTTAATATTTCTATATGAAATTTTCTATGTATTTGTATTTTTTTATAACAATCGATTGCTTCTCAGGCTTATTTAAAGATGAAAACCCCATTGGAATAAAATTATATATACAATAGGTTTCAGTTGACAAAACACCCTACCATATGCAGAGTTCAAAAGCTAATCAGTGTAAGTCAGCCTCCCGTTAAAGACGACATCTGTCGAGTAAATATCCTTCCGCTGCTGAAACCATTAATCAATGGTTTAGTCATTATATTATAATAATTAAATTCATGAATATATTATGACTAAACTGTAGCATGGATTGAAGACTTTGACAGTGGATCCTCCGTATGCACGTGTGTATGTTTCTTCTTAAATTCAGAGTATTGCGTGAAGAGTAACAATAGCCCTAGTACAATTTGATAAAAAGATAAAGAATTAAACGTTTCTCCAACGATGAAGCATATTTGTATAATTTTATTCCATGTTGAAAATTCATATCTTTTCCAACATCCACTTTACAATAGACGAAGTATCAAATTATTTTTATCATACCGCAATTGCTACCGGAGGATCGTATTAGAAATATTGTTGGATTTCAACGTGCAATCGTGTCGAAAGTTACCGGCGTAACAACGACGCCGAAACGACGGCTATAGAAAAGTAACGCAATGTACACGTCGAGCTTCGACGTTAAAACCGTGCTGCGATGATGACGATAACGATAATAAAGAGTAGTGCTGGCGTAAAGCGCGAAACGAAACACCCCCATGGAACAGCACTGTGAGGGTGTCGCGGATAAAACACGCCCGAAACGAACAAAAAAATGTACGAGTCTTTGTATGTCGCGGTATGATCGAAACGTTAGCCTCTACGATATTTACCACACGCGAAGTAATTAAAAGACAATTTGTAGGTGACGAGAAATAATGTTTGCAAAAGGTAGCGTGTAATTACGTACAGCTTTTAAGACCGAGAATGATGGATTTTCATAGCCTTCGCTCTCCTCTTCTCCGCTATATTCATTTCTTTGAATTTCGATTCTCAAAATGCAAAATCCCATATCCAAAAACGGAATTAAAAAGATTATCAAGAAAAATCATGCGACAGCCTATTACCCCTCGTAATCACTTTTCAAACACATCGAGCACGCGACTGTCGCGCGTTTATCTCACGAATTATCCCAATCTTGCTACCCTTCGACGGTGTAACCCCTTTTTACGATCAGCCTAACGATAATACGTGTCAGACGATGAGGTGGCGCGTATCAACAGACGCGCGGAAGCATCGCAGTACGAAATCGTTTTTTTCGTTGTCGCTGCAAGTACTCGATAACGGCCACAGGATAATGATACACGTAACCATTCGCGATATTATATTACGTGGCATTGTTTTCGACGTGTTTCAGTCCGGTCTTTCGTCGCCGAATGGCCAGACATATCCCACCCCTCGGCGCAAGGGTTGCTTTTTTCAAGTTTCACGTAATCTTTTACGATGGTTAACGTGCCTGTTAACGTTGGATAATTTCAACTTTGTTGCTGCGGCGAGATTTCCTCGAAGACAAGCCTTACACACTGACGAGCTTCTTGAAAGGACTTCACCTTTCGATGGTATCTTCAAGTGCGTGAAAACTAACTTTCTCAAAGTTAGATCTTAACAAGCGACATTATTTAATTGACGTAGAAATTACGTAGATTCCTTTATATGATTCGCACAAGTTAAAGAATATTAAAAAAAGAAAAAACATGCTATCGGCGTTGTAAATGTTCAGGTAAACTGAATAAAAGAAAATCACTGAACATTCCCAAAGACCATTAGAAATTATTCCAATTGAAGACGCTAACATTTTACAGATTGTTCCATGTACAATGGCTTACTCAAAATCATGTGATCTATGAAAAGTTCTGCTGCTTATCAAGTACGCTATTCATGTTACGTAGCCGTAGCAAGAAAAAAGAATACTGTCCTATTTACTTTTAAGTAACCTTAAAGGATGATATGACGTCAATAAACGACGTCGTTATTCCGGTAATGAAGACATACTTGTCAGGATTAGTGAGACGGATTAAGAGCTAAGGTACCCCGATGTTATTCACCCTATGGAGCCGGCACTTTCCCAGGGGCAGATCGAGCGGAGAGAAGCAGCACACCTGGAGCGCAACCTCCTGGTTCCGAAGAAAGCTTGTCACGGTCTTTAAGAGCGTTATTCGACGTTTTCGAGGTTTTTAGCCGGAATTCATCGCGCGCGGTCAGGCCTTCGGTTGTCAGCGATCGTTTGCTTCAAATTGACCGCGTTCCCTTTCCAATACCGAGAGGGCCGATTGTCAAGGTTCATCGGACTGTGAAAGACATGGGGCGATATTCTATGGGAATTTCATTGGCCCCTGCCTACCGATCGCCGTGTTCGTCTCTCTCGAGTAATCGAATAAATAGCACGAGCGGTCACCAACGTAACGCTTCGTTAATTCAGAAGAAGAGCTCGCCTTTCCTAAAGAAGATCACCCGAGCCGTTTCGTCTACAGTCGCCGAACTGAAGAAGTTGATTTTTCGATTCTAATCGATCGAATATTAGAAAGTTGATTTTAGAACCGTTCGATGGGACCACCTCGACACGGCGAAAGGCACGAAAATGGGGTGGCACACGGTAGGTAAAACGCGGCGACGAGCCGCTGCTAGACGATTCTGCTTGTCCCTGGGACGGAAGTGACGTCGCAGGCACCGACGGAAATTCGTACTGGAAATTCCGATGGGTTCGAGAGGTCGAGGAAGGGAGAGAAGAGGGCAACAATCAGGGTAGACCCGGCATTACGCCCCATTCATCCCCTGCCGCCGCCCCTTACCACTCTCGAACCGTATTTGGCTGACAATTCTTCATTTGCGTGCAGCAAACTCTACGAGCGCGCCGCGGCATAGCGAAAGGTTTAAACGGCTCGCAAAAGCCGGCTAAATTCGACTCCAATTTGCCGGCTCATTCGTGCAACGATCGGAAACAAAATGCCTCGACCGTTCGCTCTTTTTTTCTCTCTCCTTCTTTCTTTCCCTCGATCTCTCTTTCTCTCTTTTATAGCTGCGAACACAGAGTCGCAACGTTCCGCTGACCGAACTCCCCCGTGGCCTATCGATACGCGCCTTTCCAAATCAACTCGCATTGTCTTCCACGCGAATTTTTGATGCGCACTCGTCCCGTCTATGTCAGTTTTTTTTTTACCCTCCTCTTCACTTGTCTTAGGCTATGGTTACAATGGATGACGAACCGTCATTCCGACGAAACGTTCAAGTTAAAGCAACCAAATATGTATATAGATTCTTACGACTATGGCGTAAAACAACGACAAATTTTAGAGACTATACCGCGACCAACTTCACAAACTGAAAACTAGAGAAAAATACTGTCATAAACGTTACACTTTCAAATTTACTGTCGAAAACAGCGAGTTTAACTTATGCAAGTAAATCATCTGTTTTACGAAAATGTAATGTCAAAGTTTAATTACGCGATATTACATACGAAATTGATAAAAACTACGCTTGATCAATTTGCTTTCTAAGATGCTCAATGTAGAAATATAGGAATGTTAAAATTCATTGAGTGCATCTTCCTCCAGCTCGATTCTTTTGTCAGGTTCAGATACGTTGCTACAATAGGGTCAGGCGGGCATTTCGTATGGCACAGTTAGGTCTATATACTGTGGCGTACATACGTCGACGTCACTCACCAGCGGTATTGTCAGAAGCTGACTAGCCTACCATCCGGGAATACGAAATTCGTCGTTGGTACCCGCGGTATTCCGCCGCCCACGATTTTTACGCCGTCGCGGTCGCGCGCAATCTCTAAGGACGCGTGACGCGGTCGCCAAATATTTCCTTTTCCCGAGCACGCTGTTCCCGATTCTATTCATCGAACGTCGCAGGGCCGTGCGATTGTTTCTTACCAGTTGGCCACCAGACGACTTTCGTCGAACCTTGTCGCCCGGACAAATGTATTCAGTCAGCCCGCTTTCTTTATTTTTCCCTTTGTTCCGACTCCTTTTTTCGGTTTCCTTGAGCAGAGCCCGATTTAGCGCGGAATTTTAACCAGGCAAGTGTGAAACATTCAATGTTCGTGCTTCGAGCTACGTTTCTCAGAGCGAGGAATTATACGTTCTTTGTTAGATTCGGAACAACGATTTTTTTTAAAGAAGTCTATTTTTACGTTTATATAAGAAGAAGGACAAAGAGAATGTTTCTCTTGAATATCATTTGTAATGGATTTTGTAATATTTTTACGATATAGATATTTCGAATAACAGGTAGACCGTGGATGTTTATGTAAATTTATATCTTTGGCAATATTATTGAAGAAATATGTAAATCTTAGATAGGACTTCTCGTTTCACCCACTAACACGTTTGCTGTGAATTTCATTTGCATAATATACAATTCTATTTACTAATAGATAATTTTCATATAATACCTGCCTCTATTCAGTAACTTAGTATGTGCACTGGATATTTCAATTTCCCAGAAATATATAAACATCCGCAGACTAACGATAACATTATTTAAACAATATACAAATTCGTAAGAAATTTGTCAGACGCCTGACTCACCTTGATTTTCTGAAGAACGTTCTCCACGATCAAACGCGAAAGACACCTAACCCCCGATTTTCAAATGTAACGTAATCGGCCACATGATTTCTGAAACAAATAATCGAAAGTAACAATGAACGGGGGCAAGCAATTTACAAAATAGAAAAATGGAGAACTAAAATTCAAGCGTCTTCTGCATTTCGCTCTCGGAAAGATGAAAGTTTAGCCGCTCATCTACGAAAACTTTCTTCGGCAAGTTCGATGGTTAACTCACGAAAAGTGAAATTACAGAATAACGCGCACGTAACAAGCCGCATCACGATCGAATTTAAATTTTCCCAACTTACGATACGAAGCCTTTGCCGGTCGGATACATTTAATGATATTTAAAGGGGCTACGAAGCTGCAGACGATGATATCGCGATTAATCAATAATCGGAAAGTTCATCCGACACAACGGTGTACCACGTAGTTTTTCTATTTCGCTAAACTAAGTTTGCGATATTCATTTTGATTTCTTCGCCAAAAATGCTACGCTTTAGCCTTCGATAGTTTTAACATCGATGTTTTTTTTCCTATTTATTATTTGGTATTTTAATATTTAAATTAAAAAAATGTCGATAATAAAAAAGGGACAGCACAATTCTGTGTATCAAATAACGTTTTATGTTCTAGAACGAGCATCTGGCAACACCAACGAAAAAATGATCCGTATAAATACAATAATTACACGAGCCCAGCACCGGCAACAAGATACGCTCGGTTTTATATTACGCCATAGTTTAAATGGTTTCCGAGGAAAATCAAATTTAAATGTCTTCTACGCGATACAGCAAGGAGGAGATTTAAATAGCGGCGAGTTGAATAAGCATGCTCGACCCGCCAGCGCTAATTAAATTCCAACGCAAAGAATTAACACGAAGTAAAAAAGGATAACCTCCCGTCGGCTACCGCTATTCCCAATGTAACTTTCTCTACTGGTTTGTGTACCTTCGATCTCCACCAGCTTCGATTTTCTATACACATTCTACGTATCTTATTCAGCAGTTGTTGAAAATCGTGGTTTAAGCCGAAGAAAGAAGTTTCTCGTGCAAAAGAACACGAAGCAGATGTAAATCGACAATTTGAAGAGCTGTGTAGCTCGATGTATTCTTGTTCGCCATAACGTGTTCTGCATTTATCCTTATATAAAATTCATTTTGCTATTTCAGATGACACAAAGTTAAGTTATAATCGTAGAACTAAGGGTATGACACACGTATCAAAAATTGTCATTCTACGTACTTCACTCACTTTTACATAAAGAACTATTCTTCTTCGACTTGTGCCACCATTCTCGATACACGCTATATCGATCCTCCAGTATTCTGTTGCACACGATCACAACCTTGGAGATCGACAGAAGGATTCGAGCATCTGGACAAGGGCAACTGGTCGGTCAGGTGGTCCAATTTTAGGGGATGCGATGAGAAAAAGGACGAAGAAGACGGGCGAGGAGAGACGCGAACACGGACAGACACGGCGAGTACGTCAAATTGATCCATATTAATAAGAACGGTGGTTCGCGTTGCCGGATTTTTGCATAAATTTGAATCGGCCCTAGCGCGGCAAGGGTTGCAAATTTGAATAATCGAGAATAATTCCGAAGTTTTCGCGCCGTGTAAACGCCCGGCCGACGTAATCAGCGCGGACTTCGAAACATTTCATGATGTAACGCCTCCTCTTCTCCTCGGCGAGGATGTGCGGCTAATTAAGCGCCAGCCAGTCCCACCGGCCATTGGAAAAAATACACGGTTGGCTCTACGAATTTTCCTTTATACCCACGTCCGTTTCTCTGCCTTCGTTCTCTTTCTTTCCTCCTTTTTTGTCCAGACCCTCCCCCGCCTCATGGGTTGGGATTCGGTGAACGACGGGATTCGGGCGTGTTTGCGATTTTAATGAATCTTAACCACGCGATAGTCCAGGATTTTATCTCGACAACGAGTCGCGCTGCATGTATCCGCTCTGATATTTTTGTTCCAGTTGCGCTGCTCTTCTGTCACGTGTAATCGTTCACAGAGACGTTTCCTTCCGTTTGCATATCGCGGTGTAAGGGATTTGGACGAGTACGAGGAAAATAAGAAGTACAATATGATCCAGGTAACGCAGCAATTTCCCTTTTACGTATAGCAAGTTTATTTGCAATTAATCTGTTAATTACAGCAGGTCTACAAGCAAACGTGACGTTAGTACAAGCTTCTGGAGAGAACAATAACACCTTAGGTGCTAGTTACTTCTAACTGTTTTGAAAAACGACGCAAAAGATTTGACACGCGCTGGCTGATCTGACTTACACCACACGGGAATTAAAATTTATTTTTTCTAATTCGAATTTATGTAGATATCGTGGTGCTTTCAGGCGCAAAGGATTTCGGTTAAAAACAGTGTAGTTCACTGGCTAGCGTAAATCTAACGATAGGTGACAGTTTATTTATGTGCTGAAATAAAACTTTGCTCGATCGCTGTTAAACTTCGACTTCTCAATAATTTTTCCAACTTCTTCTTTTTTCAAGGTGCACAACATCAGATCCAATTTTATATCGAATACGGTCTGCTATAACTACTACTATAACGCGTCTGAACGTCTTCTCTCGGAAAGCAAACGTTACATTGTTACATCAGAGAAATAATATGCGAAATGGAGTAGGAGGAACAGTGCTTAAACAGTTTTTATCTTGGTATGCGGTAATCTACGACCGTGGCGGCGTCGTTCCATCTCCGGCCAGATTAAAGCGAATCTTATTATATCGAATGACGAGATCACGTGATCAATCACAAAAACACACAACGGAACTGTCGTGTCTCTAATGCGAAGCGGAGGAAGACAGCGATACTTGAAGAACGGGCCACCCGTCGTGAACGTGGAATGTGGAACTGTACCGACAGGGCCGGCGATGTTCGTCTCTTCGCCCCTTATCGATCACCTTCTCGTGTCCCTTATCCTAATCCCTTTTTGCATTTTTTAAATCGAAACTCGAAAATCGAACCGACCCCGTATCGTTTCATTTTTTCTTCTCCTTCTTCCTTTCTTTCTTTCCTTACCGACTATGGCGTAACGCAACGTCTTCGGAAGAATCGTATTTATACAACACATTTTTCTCGACAATTTCTGCTTTTTATATAAGTACACACAATATTATCGCGTTAAACGATCAGAAAAATGCTCCTTTCATCGATCATCACTTATATACTCCATAAGTGCGTAAGTATCAAAACACTTATAAATAACGAGGTAATTAATATTAAGAAGCTATTCGTTTAACTTCACGTACCATCTGACAACGCCGATAAAAGAGAATTTCAAAAATCTCCTAAGATTGCCAAAACTACCGAAAAAGCATTACGAAACCTTGCAAGCTCTCACACTTCTTTCCTTAAACTTGTCTCGTACAATCAACGACCCGTTTAATTTATCACGTGATTGCACCGTTCGGATTCGATCGATCTTCTAATCAGACCCCATTATTATTATATTATGCAATTGACTATTTCAAATATCGCGGCCTTCGCGATCCTTCACCACCTTTTCCCTCCTGGTCAAATGAACTTTTTCCTTTCACGAAATCCTGTTACCTCTGGGACTCCCCCGAGCTTGTTCCGTGGCCCTTGGTCTCTCGTCCTGTTATGGTCTATCCCATTATAATTCCGAGCATGCACGCTCGTCGTCCGTACGTCCTCTAGAGAGATGGAAGAGTGTAAAACGTCGGACACCTGGGCAGAGAGTTTAGCCGGGTATTGTCAGGAGACAAATATGAGTTAATACGTCATCCAGGGACCTATTCAGGGCCCAGCGCCGACGAGAATGGTGATCACGAATTGGCCGGCGTATAAATGTGTTTTAATTGTTCCCCTTCCCCTTTCCCCACCCTCTTTCACTCCGTCTTTCTCTAAAGCTGTCCCACGTTCCCTCTTGTTCATCCAATTCGCTTGTCCTCCACTGTTCCTTTTCTCCATCGTCTCTCTGTTTCGCTTTGTTCTCTCTCGGCCTGGACCCCGTTCGAGGAACGCCGTTCGCGGAGACTAGCCGAGATGTGAAACATAATAAGAGACGGCGTTGAAGAATTTCCTATTATCTTATTGTTGCTCGCACGTCCTTTTGTGCCCACTGATTCCTCGTGAAACGTCGTCTCGTCGTTGGAGGCCTGTAGATTTCAGTAGATTATCGCATTTCATGTATAGGGAAATTTTGTATACAGGGAGACCCATTGACATTTGTTAAACTCATAGTTTTCTTCGATATAGATTAATAAATAAAATGATGTTAATGCGTAGTAACCTTTTATTAGGTTGTCCGAAAAGTTTCTTTCGTTTCATAAGGTGATAATAGTTGAACAACAATTTCTGTTTTATATTATTTTATTGAATTAGTTCGAGCCATTTCGTCGTATTTCTATTATTATGTTCGTGCATAATTCAATAAACTAATATAAAACAAAAAACTTTGCGCATTTATTTTTTTCTTATAAAACGAAAGAAACTTATCAGAAGATAAAGTTGGCGTTCGTAAGTTTTCTACGTTTCTACCTGGAAAAAATATACCGACATCAAATTACGTTTCTCTCGAAACCATCTAACTTTTGTCCGAAACGCTTTCCCATCAATGATGAACAGCTTCCAAATATTCGCAGTGATCGATTTAAATTAGGCACCTTGTATAGGTGTTAAAGCATTTAGAATGGAAAGTGAGAAGTTTTTAATTATTTTTGTATTCCTGTTTTGACCATTGATTCTCCACAAGACGGAATTTGAACTATGGTTGAAGATACTCGAGAAATAGAAGAAACTTTATTTTATTTTTGTAAAAGAACAAAAACGTTCTACCATTTTTATACGGGGAACAAGACTGCTTCTACTTGATTTTCAAAGGTGTTACAAATACTCTTTCTGATATGATCTGCGCGAGAATCGCAATCGAAAACCTGTTAATGACACCGTGGGCAACAACACGTGTTGCTCTCTAACGATAGAACGATACCGCGGATGAAATTGTCGAATAAATTACTCCGAACATTGGACCGGCCGAGTTTCAACTTCATTCGGCTGATAATAGCTCGCGCAAAAACTTGATT